TCTCAGTCCATACTCGGCTGGCTCCAAGGCAGGGTGGCATGGTGAGGGGAACCCCTCACGCCGGCACAAGACAGCAAAAGCAGCAACAGCAAAAAGGCGGAGGGGAGCAAGCCTCTCTCCCTCCCTTATATTGTAAACAGGCTCCCCCCACCCAGGGGGCTTGCTGCACTCACATAATCTCCACGCCCTCCTCTTGCACAGGCTCAGGATGAACGGGAAGTAAGGCCCCATGCTCAGTCACACAGCTAACCTTCTAAACTTCTCAAATTGATATAACAAACATACCAGAGCTCTAAGGGCATGTCCTTTTCACCAGAAGACATAAAACTGCTGAAGTCACTTAGCCAAGCCTTTAGACTCCTCAAATTGACCCAGTGTATCAACCATAACAGCCTGTGATCCCAGCACCCAGGAAGCTGAGGCAGCAGCACTGCAGCCTGGGTTATATAGTAAGACCCTGTCTCAAAAATCCAAAAGCTAAAACCCATCCAGCTCTAGCTGTCCCCAGGCACATGCACCTTAGATCCAAAGCCACACACTGAAGGGACAGGGCAACGGTCATGCCAACAGCAGCCAAAGCTGGCGGCCTAGGCCACTTTGCTTGCACACTGAACACCAGAGGCCGCGTCACTGTTAAGAAGGGCCTGTGGCTCACAGATCTAGGGTTGGGGGCTCTAACGCAGACAGCTACATGGAGTGCGCCACACAGCAAGCGAGACTGAGCACCCAGCCCCGGCCTTCTATCAGTCAGTCTTTGCCAGAGAAGCACACTGAATACCAGGTACACAAATACGTAAGGATTCTGGCTCCGATGGCCAACCGCACAGCCGGGTGTGGAAGAGTGCAGAAGGGCTGCCTGTGCAATCCTAAGGATCCAGTCAAAGACCTCGCGCTTCCTGTAGTGTCCCACAGGTGAGCTGTATCAGGAGGCCAAAGGGTCTGTGCTGGAAGCCAGGTGACGATGTCCAAGGTGAAGGAAGACCGTGGCTCCTCTGAAGAGCAGAAGCAACCTCTTCTTGTCACTTTTATACCATTCTGCTGACAATCCTCCCGAGGGCGGGTCTTCCCCACCCAGAACTCTGCTGAGCCAGCTTGGCTGGGCGTGACAACATCAGCCAGCCATCACAGCTGCCTCCGCCCCGTTCCTACCTTCTATCATCTCACCGTCGGGGAAGGACGGAACATGGGGCTTGAATGGAACAGACAAAAAAACAAACTGAGAAAAGTTACTAGAGATGAGGAGGCTCTTTTTTTTGTTAGTTTTGAGACAGGGCCTCACTATGTAGCCCCAGGCTGGCCTCAGATTCCTCCTGATCCTCCTGCCTCAGCCTCCCAAGTATTGAGACTTCAGGCCACCACACCCAGCTGGAGAGATGCATCTGATAACAAAGCAAGGCTCTATCCATTAAAAGATGTAACAGCTAAAACATGTTATGTATCCAAGACAGCAGCAAAATCCAAGCCAAACACCAAGGGAAGGACAAGGACACTCAACCAGCAAGAGACCACAACTTCCACACCCAAGAATGAATGAGGAACAGTACAGGGAGAAAAATCAATAAGGAAGTAGGAGGCTTGAACCCACTTAACACAGCTGCATTCCTTTCCAGTGAGTCAAAGGCAAACTCTAGCACATCTTAGTAGGAGGTAATCAACAGCCTGTAGGTTCCTGGCACGGGACACGGCCTCTGTCCCCTGTGGTCGGGCTCCGAAGTCTTGCAAGTGGTGTAAGGTTCACAGGTCCTGGAATGGGCACAGGTACCAGCCATGTCGCAGACTTTTCCCCTTAAAGGTGTTTCCCCATTTCACCTTTTTATACTTTTATATTTTGAAGGAGGGTATCACTCAATTTCCAGGCTACCCCTAAGTCACTAAGTTTCCTACGCAGGGCTAGAACTTGAGATCCTCCTGCCTCAGCCTTTCTAGTTTACTGGGATTAAAGATGTGTGCTACACTTCGCCTGGCATAATATAGGCTTCTCATAGAGATATGATATACATCTTATGGGATGTAGTAGGGTGACAATCTTCTCCATGTATACTGTGTATAATGACAAAGTCAGGGTAAAGAGCACCTTTTTCATCTCCTTGAATGTTAATTTTTGTTTTTGGAATTTCCTTGTCTTCATTATTTTGAAATAGAGCATGTTGGATTTTTTTCTTTTTTTTTGTACTGGGAATTGAACTCAGGACTTTTGCTTGCCAGGCAGGTGCTTGTGCTGCTGAGCTATATCCCCAGTCCATTTTTTGTCTTGTTGAGACAGGATCTTGCTATATAGTTCAGGCTGGCCTTGAGCTCACTTTGTAGCCCAGGCTGGTCTTGAACTCACAACGATCCTCCTGCCTCAGCCTCCTGAGTGCTGGGATTACAGTCGTGCACCACCACGCCTGGCTTTAGAGTACCTTGCTGCAAGCTTTGCTGTGAAAAAATGAATCCCATCTGTACTCTGGAGCGACTCTGCGACTTTCTCTTCTTGCCTCACTCTTGCCTGCACCTGCTCCAGAGCTCAGTGGAACAGGGGGCCAGGCTCTGTCCTCCTGTGCCTGGCATTTTTAGGATGATGATTTCGCAGTCCACACTTATTCCTTTGCAGAGTCTGGAAATATTAAATACAGATCTCCACAAGCAAACCGCGCATCAACCCCAAGTAATTTCAAGTGTGCACCATCAGAGGAGCCCGACAATCTCACACCGTCTTGCCCAGCACACAAACCTACCCTGCACACACCACCCTGGGCTAGTCACTGCCGCCAGGCCACCCTGCAGCCGATGCCACATCGAAGAGCGCTGATGCCGGCAGTTCCAAAGTGCAAAAGTAAGTGTCCTCAAGTAAAAGGGAAAAATCTGCACAGCCAGCGATAGCGGCACACATCTGCAATCCCAGCCCTAAGGAGGCTGAGGGAGGAAGATCACCACAAGTTTGAGGCCAGCCTGGCTAGACTTAGTCTTAAAAAAAAAAAAAAAAAGTTTGAAGCAGTATGTCCACACAGGAGAAATATTTGTGCTCAGATTTAGTGTTCAGTAAGGCCGACAACTTCACATCCTTCCGATAAACCAGGGGGGCTAACACAATCAGCACACAGTTGGCCAAGCTTGTCCACCCTTCTGGTGACAGGGTGTGTGATGCTGGGACTAAGGGTGGGAGATTACTGCATCAGCCCACTGACTGGTTTGCACAGCTCTGAGTAGGAATAAGGGCACCCTCCCTAGTGTTCAGCTGGGATACGACACAAGAGGCTGCCTGCCTGCTGCTTGCTGCTGCTGCTTGTCTTCTGCTGCCTCCTGCCTGCTCTGCCGTGCTGCCCTGCCTCAGGGTCAGCCAACTACAGGCTGAATCCTCTGTAGACTATGATGCAAAATAAACCTTTCCTCCTCAAAACTTTGGGTGTTGCGTATTTTGTCTCAGGAAGGAGCAAAGTAAGACAATATTTGAAAAGCTGTGGTGGCCCTCATTGGGAAGTGAGGTGAGTAGCTCTGGCATGTTAACTGATAAAGTGTTATGGCCCTTGAGCTACCTACAGGAGCTACTAGGATTATAGGCTAATACTCAGTAGGCTGAGGCAAGAGGATTACTCTGAGTTTGAGGCCAACCTGGACTACTTAGTGAGATCCCACCCCCCAAAAACCAAATAAGGATAATAATAAAATTCTAGCCAGGTATAGTGGTACAAGCTGAGCACTTGGGAGGCTGAGGAAGGAGGATCACCTCAATTGAGTCCAGGCCAGCCTGAACTACATAGTAAGACCCTGTCTCAAACAAAACAAAAATAAAATTCTAAATATACTGTTGAAATACGAAACTGTGGTAGAAGTCATCACTTCTTACACCAAACACAAGCAAATCTGTGTCTCTTGAGGTAGACAGACAACTTCTGAGGGGAAAACAGTTCCTATAAAGGAGGCCGAATCATGTCTTTTTTCTTTCTTTTGGTACCAGGAATCAAACTCAGGACTTTGTGGTTGCCAATAAGGTGCTTGAGGCACTGAGCCATATCCCCCGCCCAAACTGAATTAGTAATGACAAAAACAACCCACAAAGAAATGCTTAGAGCTGGGTGTAGTTCTGACGGCCTGTAATCCCAACACCCGGGAGGCTGAGGCAGAAGGATGGTTGCGATTTCTAGACCCGTCTGGGATACAAAGTGAGCTCAAGGTCACCCTATTCAAAACGATGGGAAAAAAAAAAAAAAACACCCAAAAATTTAGTAAGTAAAAAATAAGTAAAATAAAACCAATTCTATACTGTTGTTACCAAACATACAAGTTGAGTGAACACCACCCACCTGCATTCAAGACTAGTATGACCCTTCTACCAAAATAAGAAGTCAAAAAATGCAAGGTTGGCTCAAAATCCAAAGAAAATTTATAGTAGCAGTAGGATAAAAGGTAAAGGGACAAAACCCATGATTTTCCTCAATAAATGTAGTAAAAGCATGACAAGACCCAGCACCTTTTCCGAACAGAAACATAAAACAGAAGATAAAACTTCATCAACACAAAAGGCAACTAGAATTAATCCTCAACACATCACACCTAGCAGTGGCACAATGACCTTTCCAAATGTCCACTCCCACTCCTTGAGATAGAATCCAGCTATGTAGATCAGCTGGCCTGGATTACAGGGCTGAGACACTGCACCTGCTCAAATGTCTACTGTATTCCTATTTGGGGGTAGAGGGGGTTGGTACTTGGGACTGAACCCAGTCTTCACAATCAACCATAACAGTCTCCTTTTTTATTTTGAAGACAGTTTGCAAAATTGCTAAATTTACCAGGATGGGCATGATCCTGCAAATTCTCCTGCCTCAGCCTCCCAAGTAACAGGAATTACAGCGGCCAGAACTACTGCCAGGTACTACCACATATCTCTTCTTATCAACTCTAGTCAACTTTTTACTATAGGTTCACCCATCATAGCTACACAGGTCTTACTTTTCTCATTGCTGAGACAAAAATACCCAACACCCAAAGTTAAAGGAGGAAAGGTTTATTTAGCTTACAGTTTGTAGAGGTTTCAGTCCATAATCTGCTGGCTCCAAGGCAAGGTGGCATGGTACAGGGGCAACCACTCACGTAGGGGAAAAACAGCAAAAGCAACAAGAGCTGAAAGGAAAGGAACAGGGCTCTTTTCCTCCCTTATATTGTAAGCAGGCTGCCCCCCAGGGCAGGTGTAGCACACACACCATCTCCAAGCCCTCCTCTTGCACAGAATGAGGATGTTTACAAAGTGAGGACACTGGCCCCTGCTGAATCACTTCAACTTCTAACTGCATGAGGCTCTGGGGGGACATCTAGACATAAACCATAACAATGTTGGTCTATGGACTGTATCTTCACAAATCCTGATCTATATAAACAGTATAGGGGCTGGGGATTTAGCTCAGTGGCACAGCGCCTGCCTGGCAAGTACAACGTCATGAGTTTGATTCCTGGTATTTGAAAAAAACCAAAACACGAACATACAAACAAACAAAGAAACAGTGTAAAGTCACAGTCTTCCCCGGTCTTCACTAAAGTCGCTAGGACTACAGTTCGGGTGAGGAATTCACTGCACAGTAAGAGGGAGGCTTCCCTGGGACCAGGAGACCCGCCTCCCTCTGTCCCCTCTCTCCGTACTTTCATGTCCACCAGTGTCTTGGAGGACAAAGGGCTTGCATGGCAAATGATCTTTTCCTTTGTCCTAATGACTAGCTTCTTAAAGCAAATGAAACAGGAACAGGTTGTAAAGGTTTGTAAAAAACAAGCATCTTTCAAATTCTTACATTTGTGACTAACCTGGCCATAATTAAAAGTGCTATTTGGAGGGTCTTCTACAAGGAAAACAATAGGTTATTATGGAAAGAAAACCTGTCTAAAGTCATATGTTATTATGGAAGGAAAACCTGTCTAAAGTCAGGTTTTCTTAAAACACAGGTCTGCTTGTAATCATATTTACAAAACTGACGTGAAGGACTCTCTACACACATTTTTTGAATCACAATCTTGCTATGTAGTTTAGGGTGGCCTTTAACTACTGCCTCAGCCTCCTGAGTATGTGAGGGCCCACACCCAGCCTAGTATAGGTTTTACCAAGATCACTTCTTGTGTTTCAGTGTTAGACCTAACGTACAGAGCTGTGCCTTAAGAGAGGTAGGCTTTGTTCAAGTTTTAGTTAGCTGTAAAGTGTTATTTATTGAATTTTTTTCTTTTTTTTTGTACCAGGAATCAAACTCAAGACCTTAGGCTTGCCAGGCTTGTGCTGCTGAGCTATACCCCCAGCTTTTTTTTTTTTCGTTTTTTTTTCTGGTACCAGGGATCAAACTCACAACCTTGCACTTGCTGGGCAGGCGCTGTGCCGCTGAGCTAAATCCCCAGCATCCCCTTAGCTTTTTTTTTTTTTGTTTTTTCTCCGGTACCGGGAACCGAACTCACAACCTTGAGCTTGCCAGGCAGGCACTTTGCCACTGAGCTAAATCCCCAGACCCTCCCCTAGCTTTTTTGAGACAGGATTTCACTATTCATTTTCAGGCTGGCCTTGAGCTTACTCTGTAGTCCAGGCTGGCCTCAACTCACAGCAATCCTCCTGCATCAGCCTCCTGAGCACTGGGATCAGAGGTGTGTGCTAACACCATGTATAGCCTGTAAAGTGTTTCACTTATTTACTTTTTTGGGGTACTGGGAATCAAACTCAGGATGTTGTGCTTGCCAGGCAGGCTCCCTGGCCCCTGTAAAGTGTTATTATCCACAGCACCCATTTACACTTTGGCTTGATGAACCACTTCTGCATTAGGTCACTATGGCATATTTACGCCTGTGCATTTGGGACTGGAGATGCACGTCCACTGAGGAGTGAACGTGTCGCGAACCTGAGATTTTTCTCAATACTGACAGATTTTAAAAAGCACACCTGCTTTTTTAATCGGTGTTTACTCATGTAGCATCCACTGCACCTGGACCTCAAACTTACAAACCATTTGACACAACTTTAGGTATTTGTGTTAGGTGCCATGAAATAAAAACCGATCATTTGCTCCATCATGCTACTTAAAACCTGGTCTGCGTCTGGCCCACGCAGACCTGTTACAGTCTCACTTCCTTGTGAAAGTAGAAGCTATGTTGCTGTGTAGGGACTTGTGCATCACTGCGGAGCTAGTTACTGCGGGCTTCTTTCAGTGTTAAGTGCATTTATGTTCCCCAAGAACACAGGACTCCTAGAACACAGTGAGGTAAACCCCTCACCACACCGGTGTATCCCAAGCCAACACTGTTAGAATGACAGCCGCCTTTGGCTTATTATTGTTCGTACTGAAGTGAAGATTTTAATACATTATCTAAGTTACACTCTTTCCAAGCACATGTGCACCGTACTTCTAGGACACTGAATCGCTGCTCCAAGCGCTGCCTGAGAGCGCACTGAATGGGACCTAGACACAGCAGTGCGGCCACCCACAGTTCAGGCGTAGCAGAGACTACTAGCCTTGTATGTACTTCAGGAGACCGGAGGGAGGGTTCTTTTTGTTTAGAACAGGCAAATAGCAGGCTGGCGTATGTGTATGTGTGTTAAGCGGCCCATCCCTGTAACGACACTAGTTGGGAAACTGAGGCAGGCAGATTGCTGGAAGTTTGAGGTCAGCCTGGGCTACGTACTGAGTTTAAGGCCAGCATGAACTACATAATAGCAAAAAAAAAAAAATAAAAAAAATGTAAACATCCAATTAAATTTTAACACTACGACTTCAATCTCCAAACTTTCTTTACAAATTAAGCCTTGTAATCTGATACATCTCAGGAGAATCTCAAGTTATTGCCAAGAAACCTTTAGAGCCATTTACATAACCATGAGAAGAAAATGCATAGTTCCTACCTCACCACTCCCCAGGGTGGCAGGCACTGTGCTCAAGCACAAGACACCTACTACAGGAAGACGCTAGCGAGGACACAGCTGCCTCCCAGCAGAACACCCATCCACATTCACAAGATTGCTCCTTTCAAAGCAAACTCGCACTTCTACAGCCAGGGCTGCTGAACTGTTCTTTATCTCAAACTGCATGCTGCCCAGGCCTGTTTCCCATAAGGAAGCAAGTCCCTGAAGACCTGGGAAAGAGGCCTGCTTAGACAAAACAATGCTTCTTGACTTTCACCAGGTTTTTTTTTTTTTTTTTCCAGCACAGGGCACTGAACCCCAGGCATCCGGTGTGCGAGGCAAGTGCTCTGCTGCTGAGCTTCACCTCCAGCCCCTTTTATTTTGAAGGAGGGTATCACTCAATTTCCAGGTTACCCCTAAGTTGGCCTGGGACTCAATGATCCTCATGCCTCAGCCTCCCAAGTAGGGTGGACAGAGGTTTCTCATTCACCTTTGTGAACACATCTGAAATGTGATTAGATCAAGTCCCTAAACACTGGACTGCCTGCTGCTATGCTGATTATCTAGATGCAAGGCAAGATTCCTGGGCCTCTCACCGGTAACAGGGAAGAACGATGCTCCAGGGCATGCCTGCTGGGCCAAAGAATTTGGAGAGGGCGGACTACAAACAAGCCTGCAGGCAAAACCTGCTGGGGATGAGCTGCAAGACTGACAGTAATAGGTTTCACAAACAGGAAGATCGTGCATAGCTTAAATGAGCATACAGAATTTCCCGTAAGACTGTGTTAAACGTCTTAGGGAATAAAATGTACTTCCTGTAACATGACAGTAGCTAAAATGAACGTATTCCCTGCCAGGGGTGTTTTTACTTAGCTGTAAGGACTTAATCACCAAATTGCCTCAGCTGGGCTCAAACTTGTAATCCTCTTGCTTCAGCCACACCTGGTGGCAATTTTTACACTTTCGAAGTATGAAGCTGCTGTAACCCGCAACAATCTCACAAGGCAAGCACCACTGTTATCCCCATTTTACAGATGAAGCTGCAGCAGAGGTTCACTCTCCTGGGGTCGCATAGCAAGCGGTGGAGCTAAGATCTGAGGTGACTGCAGGGCCATGGGCTTCCCCACGCGGCAGCTCCAGAGGCAAGCTCTGTGGTGTGGGACGCAAACCGCAGGGACAATCACTTTCCCTGTAGTGGAACGGCTCTCCAAGGATGGAGCGCTCTAGCACCACATTCCCACACTGCCCCAGGTGCCAGAAATAATTAAAGCACAAGTCAGAGTGAGCTCGGGGAAAACACCCTTGCTTTGGTCCCTTCTGCGCCTCACTTAAGAGTGAAGAGCTAAGTGCCCAGGGGAAGAAGAGCGCGGGGCAGCACTGGAGGCTCCAGGTTCAGACCCCAGCGCTAGCAAAAATCCACTTCCCCTTAGTTCCCCAAGAGGAGCAACTAAATTCTCAGTACTTTGCGACAATCTTTCTCCTCAAGCTGTCACCAAATCCACTATGTCCTACAGGTTTTAAATTTTTTAACCAATGCCGATCCGTTGAATTAATAATTTCATCCCCCAATAAAATCCTCTACTGTGTCGTGAATGACCACCTGATTACATCCGGGAGGCCGATCTGACGCACTAACCTTCAAGTCCTTTGCTCTTTAACCACAGTACACGTTCGCGGTTCCCTCCAAGGAAGCCAGTCCTTTCCACAGCGTGTTTTCTCCGGCCCTAGGGAAAGCAAGAAACGTTTTACAATCAATAAAGAGCACCGGCCTGTACAAAACTTCCTTCAGGATGCCCTGGAAGCGTACTGAATCGACGCACGTACGAGTGGAACTATTTAACTCGCCTAAAGTTACAATTTCTAGAGTTAGAAAAACAGTAACATTTACGTTACCAATTTTTTCTTTTTTTAATTGGATTAGTAGGGGAATCCGGACCGCACGGGGGAAAGGTAACAACCCTTGCCAGAAGTGCAAGTCAACGCTGGGTAAACAAACGCGACTTCCCACGACTCGGTCTCGTGGGAGGAACGCTCACCCCTAGGCCAGCTCGGGGCAGCCCGCGCGGAGGCACTCCCAGCTCACCCGCACCCCCGGCTCCCCGGCTCCAGGAAATGCTTAGCCCAGCGCTCGCCGCTGCCCTCCGGCCGGCCGGCCCCGCTCAGCCCGGGAGCGGCGCCCGGCTCCGTGGGG